TTGCTGGAAGCTTGCTTGCATGGACTTCCTCTTTCTTTGAATCGCTCTTTACCTGCTATTCTCATGCCTCCAGATGAAAAGCTTGTGTTTTAAAGGGAGTGATGTCAACTCCCAGCCAGGATGGCAGTGTGTGGCATTATAAAAATGTTTATATTCGTGTAGATTGCTGCTTATTTTTAGAAGTGTAGTTTCTGTGAGTGAATGAGTCATGGTACTCTGCACATTCTGCAGTGACTTAAATGTCAGCCTCTCAATACTAGAATGAGAACCCTAAAAGTTTTTTTTTTTTTTTTTTTTTCCTGGTGTTTTTTGTTTGATGTTTTTCATTTGTTTCATTATTTTATTTTTCTTTAGTGGTTAGTGTTGAAAAGTAACTGCTATCCTTGGCAAATGAGACTATGTGAAACCAGGGTGAATTTTCTTTTATGGGACTTATTTAAAGCTTGGCCCGTTGTTGATCCAGAGGGAGGTGAAGAAGAGATGGGGGTGCTCAGACCCTTCAAAACTGGAGGGTCTTCAGCTCTACCTCAGAGCCTTTACCCTAAACATTTAGAAATTGGGAAATGCCAAAGGAAATAAAAGTGCACATCCTCAGAGGGTAAGTGGTTGCTACAGCTTGCAGGGAGGTCGGTGCTTCCTTGTGTGCCGCAGCATTGCCGCGTACAAGGTCAGGCCCAGCACGTAGCCAGCTACTGTTTCCTCATCTGGTTCTGAAAAACTGCAAGTGAGAACAGAAATTCGTCTCTGAACTTGTAGATTGTAGCAAGACCAGGAGCAGGATAGCTCAGCTTTTAACTGTTCATCTGAGATTGGAGTGTTTACAGTGACAGAGCCAAGCTTTGGCAAACGCGGATGATACCGTTTTGGAACTGGAAAGAATTATGAAAGGTGTATTGGCATTTAATGTAGGTGGTATTTAATAAGCATGGGAATCTAGATTAAGCAATTACCTTTTTTTATTATTATTATTTCGTTTTTCAACTGTACCAACATGTGAACAATTTTCCTTCCGTGGTCAGCATTCCCTCTGCAGTAGCCTTTGAACAGCAGCATGCTTTGCAGTATTTATGGTTTTCAGGAACTGTGCGGAAATGAAGTTTTGCCAATTATATAACTAAAAATGGCAACACGCCTGATTCAGAATGAATAAATGAGCAGCTGTTGCGATGCTGCTTAGGTGATCTGTGATGAAATAGCTTGCATCCTGCTCTCGGTCGCAGCGCTTATAGGATGACAGCTTGTTTAGGAACACCGGCTAACTTCCCGGCTCAGAGGTGTGAGGCTCTTATTGCAAGGCACGGTTGGGTGTCGATGCTTTATTTAGGATTTACACGCTGTTAGCGAATCATGGGTTTCTTAGTCTCGGGCATTATTATGAATAAAGTTGACTCATGTTTTGGAAAGGTAGGGAACTTGAGGAGGGGTGGGGAAATGCATGTGATAATTCATTGCTTCTGACTTTTATTTGGGAGAAGAAAAGCACTCAAGTATTTGCCTGTAGATTCTTTGTAGTGGTTTAATTATATTGCAGGCATTCGGGGTGGGGAGGAGAGGGTGAGGAGATACAGCTAATCCATATTTGATCATAAGAGACAAAACTGTTACTAAAGATGAGTGGCCTGTGCTCTATTTTCTCATGGCGTCTGGCTTTATGTAAGCAGTCGTGTAGGAGGATGTTGAATAGGTGAGAACCGAGTTGCACAGCTTGTGGATGGGAAGGCTGCTGACTTCTCTCCCACATAGCTGAAATGTGATTAATGAAAGGCTTGCATAACCTGCGCTACTGAGACGGGGGAAGATCAGATTGGATGCGTGTGGCTGTTTTGCAAGGTACGGTTTGCTGAGAGAAGTGTAGAGGGCGAAGCCTGGGCTGTGCTTGGGCCAGGACCTGAGCAGCACAGCCTGCTTCAGAGACGTCTCCTGCCTGAAAGGTTCATCTCTCCGGGAGGAGACTGGTCTAAAGGCACTGAGCAAGTCAACGGAAGAAAACAGAAGAGCTTGCACCGCCACGCTCTGTTGTCTCATTCATTTTCGACTCTTCCTTGTACTTGTGGTTTTGCTAGTCCATTAATCCCTACAAGGAGCATCTTTCTCTAAAGCCACCCCAGGCAGCCGGTCCACCCACAGCTACAGGATATCGGGACGTGGTACTGACAGACCTGCCCTTGTGCAGGAGGCTTGCATCCACCCCCCTCCTCCGCTCCAGCTCCGTGGCAAAGTGCAGAACTCGTTTCCGACTTAATCGGCGTGAGCGAATGATTGTTGTAACAGGAATTGTGGTTTCCAGGGTTCAAACAGGAAAAAAAATGCAGCTACTTCCAGCTGCAGACTTCATTAGGTAGTCACTCGTGGGCCTGCCTTGGTAATATCTTTTTAGACTCACCTGTCCCACCCAGTTTTCAGAGTAACCACTTAAGCAGATCATGGCTTGTGAGCCACGGCTGGGAGCTCCTTTTCATAATGGGTATTTTTTTGTTGTTGTTTTTCCTGAGAACGTCTTTCTCAGACTCTCGGAGGATGACCCATACTATAATTATTTCCCTGCAATCCTGGCTGGTACAATTCAGCCTTTCTTTAGGTAATGGCCTGAAATTACAACTACAAATTGTAAGGCATGGAAAAGCATACCAGAGATGCTTTGTATTTTCTTCAAAATTTGTTTACCATTGTCAGTGAAACTAGTAAAATACTAGTTCTTCCCTTAGGTGTCATTGGTTTTGTTTTGTTGTGGGATGGAATAATTACTTGTTGCCATGGATTATAGAAAGCAGGAGCGTAAGTCTCTGAACTGAAACAGGAGTTTGAAGTAACACCATGTATCATTATCATTGTGTTTTCCCCCAGAATTTCGACTGTGCTGCAGTAAGACAAGGAGACTTTTTATATCTATTAAGAGTCGCCTTGTGAGCAGAGAGCAGAAGATGCTCAAAGGCAGGTGATTTGGTGAATTGTAGTGGGTGTGTGACTCCTCTAACAAGTACCTGACCGTCCTTCCAGATACTGGAGGGACTGCAGAGCTTTCCTGTGCTGCCTGGCCCTTCTGTCACTCTGCCCTAGGCTTTCTGAGGTCCCTTCCATGCTCCCAGCATGGTGAGGGTGCTGGCGTGGAGACATGGTCCCAAATAGCTCTTGGAAACCAGCTCATGAAAGACTGTGCTTGTGTTGTTGGAAGCTGCACTGTCAAAAAGGAGAAAAACTGGAAATGGGACCTCCATGGGGCAAAGAGTAACTGGAACTGATGAGCTCCATGTGCCTTGTGGCTGCCCACCCACTTCTTTAAGTTGAAGCCCCACATGTGCAAAATGGGAACAACTTGTTTTAAGGTCTAGCAGAGCCTGGGAAGCCCTGGGACGGGTCTGCCCTTAGGTGAGCACACATCCACGTTGCTGCAGAAATCAGCCAGAACCCGGCGGTCCGCGGGTGGCAGAGCAGCCGGTGGCAGTGGTCTCTCCTGACGTGAAATCCAGCAGTTCTCACACCCGCCAGCTGCCGTGTTTTGATTCGTGTAGGAGGGCGTTTCTTGGTAGAATGAGAGCATGAAATCAGGCAGGAATGGAGGGTGCAGTAACCGGCACACGCGGGGGAAAAGATTGCCTGGTGTGGGCAGAAGGAGCACAATGGGAAGCCTCTCTCCTGATGTCAAGGCCGAGCGGGGAAACGTCTGCTGCTTGAGGCAGAAAGCCTGATTCTTCCTCTGCCTTAAAAACATGGGAGGACAGGGAGGAAGAAGTGCAGTTTGCTGTAGCAGCTGAAGGGAATGGGTTTTGTCCAAATGTGATGCCAGGGCTAAACCGCTTGCTTTATTTCTGTCTGCAACAGCAGAGGGTCGGTGGGGGAGAGCAAAAATGAACCTTAAAGCTTTGTTATTCTTGGCCTGTGGTTAGTGTCTACCAAGTGTTTCTGAAAGTTCATGTGAGTGCTTTCAAGACACCTTGAGGAAGGTGTCCTGTAGGCTGTATGTGTAAGACCAGGAATGCAGGAGAGCATTCTGCTATGGTATCCCCTGCTCTATAAAATTTTGTTCCTGTATCATCCTTGGTATGTATATCTAGTACTTTGAACAGTCTAACGCGGCCCTTGCAGTCACTGGAAAGCCAAGTGAAGCAGTGTTGTCCAGGTCAGGCACTGCAGTCATTGGAAGAGGAGGTGAAGGTGCTTGTGGAAATGCAAAAGATTTGGGACAGATGGGTATAAAGGAGAGCCCTCTGTCTTGTGGTGCTTGGGATGGACTTGGCAGGCACCAGAGCATGAGAAGGGGCATTGCAGGGGTGAGGTAGGCATGATCTGCGGGGGCTCTGGGTTGCATTTATCTCTCATTTATCTCGACTTTGGTGTGTTAACATTTCCCCCTCTGCTCCTCCTTGTCCTATCATTATCTGACCGAGCAAAAAGTTGCCTTCCATCTTTTTTATAAGCCCTCTTAATTCATTTTAGATATATGGGAACAGCTGACTACCTTGTGACAGAGCTGAGATCTCTATATCTGCAGGTTAGGTACCCAATTTCTTAGTAGTGATGCACAAGGTTTGGCTTCAGGTGGCTATAGGTTAGTGTGGTGCTGATCTTTTAACATACAAAAAGGTACTTTCCTCTTGATACCTCCAAAACCTCATAACTGATACGTTTATTTATAGCTTTCCTTTATCTGAAAGTTAAGAAGTCTCGAGTATATGTATTAAGCGAGATAGGCAGACATAAACAGGGATATGAAAAGTCTGTTCATGCAGAAAACTGAAAAAGTAGCCTGAGAGCCACTGCTGAGTAAACAAGAGTACATCTCTGTGGTGCTTGTAGGCAGGCACTGTGTTGTTTTGGGTTTGTTTCTCTTAAGATAAAATGCTTACACTGCAAAATGAATACTGCTTAGAATTAAACTTAATTGGATTTTTAAATATCAAAACGTCTGAAAAATGTGCAGTAATAAGAATATAAAACACTTCTTGTGAAGTTTTCCGAATTCTATATGTAATTAATTAAAAAAAAATGCATCTGTTTTGCAGGAGAAACTGTAGAAGGCCTTCGAGAGAGTGATTACCTTCTGATTCATTCGTGTCGGCAGTGGACAACAATCACAGCTCACAGCCTGGAGGAGGGCCACTACGTCATAGGGCCAAAGATAGAAATCCCTGTACATTATGCAGGTAAAGTTGTTGTTAACCTGAAATACAAATTCAAAGAGAGTGAATCACCTACCACTTACATTGGTCACTTTAATTGCTGGAGTGAAGCTAAGTCTCTGGTATCGGTGACCATGACCTTTTGATAATGCTACGAAGCTCAAGAGAAACTGATATACTCCCAGGGGTACTAAATAGATGTGTGTCATTGGGCAGCATGCTTAGAGAACACGGCTATGTAATCGGGTTTAATTTGAGCATAACAAATTGCCAGCCTTTTTCATCTGTGAACATGGTAGCAAAAGTATGGAAGTTTGAAAATGCACTGAAATATCAGTCACAGATAGAATGGGGGTTGTGATTAATTACATACTCGAGCTGGAGGAGATTTTTTTTTTTTTTAATATGTCTGTGTTAAAAGGTAGGGAGCATTCATAACAGTACTGCAGGGCACTCCTTGACATTTCTTTGTTGCTGCCTGCCTTTTTGGATGATGCAATAATACCGTTGTTCCCAGTAGGTAGGTATGGCACCACTGATCAATATTTATTTTACAATTTCAAATTAGTTTTGCTTTCCTAAGAAATTATTTTAATAACTTCCTACTGCTTAATGTCCTTATTGACAAGCTGAATAGAGCAGTACTGTCTGATTGGGATGTACTTATCTTGCCACAGTTAAGATGCAAAAATGTAAAAGGCTGGGAAGTGTAAACTCTAAGAGCCATGGCTACAGGGCAAAGGTGTGTGCTTAGTACTGTGCTTTCTCTTTGTCTTCCATATAGCCAGTTGTCAATTGATTAATCAATTCAGTTGTCTTGCTGTCTCTTTTTTAGATGTTGGTGTAATGAGGGTGGGATGAGTTGTACAAGAGCTGACTGAGATTTGCTTTAATCGCACCAGTGCTGCAACTGCAGTGATGCACTGTAATTCGGTGATGGAACTTGCACTGTTTTTCCTTGGAGCTGGCTTCTGGAAGGTTAAATGTTTTAAGACATGTTTAAAAGCTTCAGTCTGTTAGCACACAGCGTCATAATGTACATGGCATTAAAATTCTATGAATTTAACTTCTTTAGTATAAGCAGTTTCTAGTGTATGTGCTTAGTAACTGTTCTTTTTTCACACCTCCTGACTCCATAAGCTTCAGTGTCGTGGCCAGAAAAACACCTTTCTTCTTTCAGACTGAATGGTGCATTTTAAAATTCTCACTGATTCCTGGAAGAACAGAAGATAAACTGGTTGTTGGTGTAGAAGAAGGCTGGACTTTTAAGGGGTTTACTAAAGCTTGGTTCTTAATTTGTAAAGAACTTAACAAAGATATGCGAGGCAGGGTTTCCTGGTTCTTCGTGTTTCGTTCATGCTTGGCTTGATTTTGCTGATATCTATGTAAACTCAAAGTCTGTTCCCTAGGATATTGCAAAAGCCATTGATGTGGTTTTCTTCCTGGCTTGTGTTAATGCAGGAAGAGTGTGTTTAGTTGACAGAACTCATTTTGCTGTCAAACGATCTCCAGAAAGTTCCCTGCTGTAAACTCCTCGTTTATGAGACAAAAATACAGGAAAACTTCAGAAGTTGCCACGTAGTAAAGGCACATACTAAATAAGTGGTGCTGCCAAAGGAACCTCACAGAAATGCTCAGGGCTAACTTGAGGTATCAGATCATGCAATATAAGTTTGCCTCTGAGAAAGGAGAGATGTGTCTAAGGATGTGAAGGCTGAGCTAGAAGAGCACTGCAACCAGGTGCTTGGGTGCTAACCGCCAAAAGCATTTAGAGGTATCTTCCATACCCTAAAAATGAATTTATGCTGCTGTGGAATATGATACGGGGCTCTGTAAGGTAACGCTAAGTGAGTTGTCAAGGCTGCATTGTGCAGTGCCTCACAGCATGCTTTTGGGATCCAGAACCCCACACGAAAGTGGACACGCTTCATGTTGCTGCTGCAGAAGGCTTCTTAGGCTGGGGACTGCCCTGATACATTTATGCTTCTAGCTCAGGAGCCAGGCTGGGCATCTGCTCTGAGGTAAGCCATGAGAAGGCTGGGCAGTGGGAGTGCTCCAGAATCATGGACAGGATCTGAGCAGGATGTGCTGCTACCAAAAGGCTGGGTGTTCAGCTGGCCAGAGCCTTGTGGCCATAGCCTAGCTGGCACAGCCCTCCGTTTACATGCAAGAACTTCCCATCTTTGCAGAAAACACCACTGGAACAGTTGACAAGCTGTTTTTATGGGGTTCAGCTATTAGTATCTGGTTTTAGAGGTGGGATTTTGTCTTATTACAACAATACAGTTCACATGCCTTTATCAGTACGTTTTGGATTATGACTGCTGATTTTTTTTTGCACACTTTCACTATAAACTTCTGTCAAGTAAGACATCAGCTACAAACGTGCAGTTGGCATTGTTGCTTATACTGCCTACCAGAAAGGTCCTTAGACATTGAACATAAACATTTATTAAATGACCTTCCAGGTTTCTTTCATATTTAATACAATAATTTCATTCCCCTCCAGATTTTAAAGTAGCAGATCGTAGCATCATTTTGGTTGCTACTGTTTAGCAGAAAGGGAAGTTGAAACTGATTTTATTCCCCTGAGATTATGGGTTTAAGTACCACAAAGTCATCAGTCTCATATATAAATACTAGTGTAACGTAAATCTTATTTTGCTATTTGCTAAATCGGGTTTTGGTACACTTATTAGACCTAAATATAATAAAGCCTTGTTAAAGAAAGAAAATGCTGTATTTCACATTTATGTGAAATTTCATTAGCAGAACCTCTGTTCTGCAGTCCTGTTACTGGGAAGCTACTACCCCAGTTGTTTCGTTTGGGGGTGACTTACATAAAGTTAATTTTTGCTGTTGCTGTCAGAGAAGACTCATATATGACAGCTGTTAGTCTAAGCATTCCCTCTTGAATACTCTTTCCAGTCTGCTTCTCTTTAGAGTAAAAGCTAAAGTTAATGTAGCATCAAGTTCAATTCTCATGTAATTAAAAACAAATGGCTACTGTGTTTCTGACTCCTAAAACAAAGGAGGTCTTCACGTGTATGTGATATGAAGAGTGGATCAAAATTACTGTCCTGGTAGTCTCCTGCCTTGCTGTAAGAGAGCAGACTTCACAAGAGTCCATGGCAAACCACTGCAGCGTACAGGCATTGCTTGGGTGTCCTTTACTTTCCCTCCTCAAGTTCCCGTAATTCACACCTGATACTTCTGACAAGGCCTTACCTGCTCGCTGTTTGAGCTAGCTTTATATTGTTCCTGCTACTATATCCCTAATATTAAATTTCTACTCCAGAAATGTGTGCATCATCTATACCCTCCAGCTGACAACAAATGTTACCACTAGTTCAGGCTGAGGCAGCGCTGTGTATCTTTACCTTGATAAACGTCTCCTGTAGTAACCTCAGAAAAATGCTGTTGTATGATCTGAATTTGGTATCTTGCAGAATTAAACTTCGCTGTGCTGCTTCTTGTCAAGACAAATGCCTCTTGTCCTCTGTGCAGAGGTAGCTGTGTGGGGAGCTGCAGGCGTTCATGGCTGCTGCTTGCACGTATTCTGTGATAACTGAAAGTGATTGTAGCCACCGTCAGAGGGCTTGAACACCATGGGCCTCAGGTGATATCTGATCCTTCTTGTGTCAGGTTCTGGGGCTATAGAGCTCAAACCAAAAGCGTTATTGAGGTTTTATCTGCTCAAGCCCCAGAGGTCCCCTGCTCTGACTCTAAAGAGCCCAGGTTCAGGCTGTTGTATGTGCCTGTGCTACGTGGCCACAGTTTGTACTGGGTGCAGATCACTGCTTCGGAGTTGGATGGAGCTGGATGTGGTTACCTGAACTTGCTGTACAGGTAAAGCAGCACAGAGGGCAGCGGAACGAGACACAAGCATGTCCGTACTCTTATCTACAGAGCACGGCCTTTTCTTTCAGAGGCCAAACTAGTATTGGTGACCATATGCAGTGAAAGAAGAAATACTGTGGGATGAGCTGGCAGCACTGAGGTTACTTTGCCCTAGATACTCCCATGTTTAATCAAATCATAACAGGGCCTTTACTGTTGTTTTCTAGTGCCTTATCTCTGTTGTTGTAACTGATGGTTCATTTGCCCTCTTGTCCTGTCTGTTAGGGGGTTTTCCCTTCTGTCAATCAAAATGATGACTTAAAAAAAAAAAAATCAGCCTCCCTACCACTTATTTTTCTTCTAATCAGCTTTGTCCAGAGTTTGGAGGGAAATAGCTCTTGCATCAGTGCTGCCATCTGTGTGTTCGTACAAGGCAAGTAATAAAGAAAATACTTCTATTAAGACACTAGAAAGTAACACCCTATTCCAGGGTGTGCCGTGTTGTAACATATCCGGGGTGTTGGAAATACTCTTCCTGTGACCTCATGCCTCCCAGCCACAAAGTGAAGGTGTACAATTACTAATACAGAGTAATCACTTGTGCCCTGTCCGGCTGCTTGCCTAAGAATACCGATAGCTTTCTTAATGTCTTTTACATGAAGAAATACACGGCCTCATCGTGTGAGCCTTCCCCAGGTGGGGCAGCTGGTGGGAATGAGTCAGAAATCCCTTCTCTGGTTTTTGAACCAGTGTGAATGAACATCCTACTGAAACCTGTTCCTACTAGTTTGATTTGTTAATCATGGCTGTGCCTCGCTGCATCCTGTTAGCACGGAGGAAGGCTCTCTCTGCAGGTCTTCTCAGGAGTGAACTTGCCTTTGCAGCTGCGGAGCTGCAGGACACCCTGAGATGCTGCAACGTGCAGCAGCAGTTCCTGCCTCCTGTCCCAAGGCATGCCAGCCTCTGAGGCAGTTGTGCAGTGCCACCAAGCCTTCTGCCTGCTCTGGGATGGTCAGGACACGGACGCAGGAGAGTGCTGAAGAGTGGTGTGAGTTAGGCATCTCCTAGTTGTCTTGAGGTGTTGACAACAGGTCAACCCTTGAATCTCCTCTGCCCAAGATGTGGAAGAGTGTGGTGATGCCAAACGCTGTTAGGTGTTTAGTGGTATGTTAGTTCTGCTTATT